CTTTCGTTTTCCTCTGTTTGCCTCTCGCACTTTGTTTTTGCTGTTGTGTGTGTGTGTGTGTTTTTTTTGGGGACAAAGCAAATGCTTTTTGGCCTGACGATTATGTAATGTACCGACATACAGGCAGACTGGCAGCCAGCATATAGGTAAATGTAATTTATCTGCTGTTGTGCAAAATCGTTTGGCACTTGGACAAACCGACGGGGAGAAGAAAAACTTATTATGCTGGCTAAGCAAATGGTTTTTTTTTTTATGGATGATTTCCCTAAAGAAATTGCCATGAGCCGCCTCTAGAATTACAATTGCAGCCGGCGACTGACGCACGTCACTCACTCGGGCTATAAATAAAAGTTTTGCAAATTAAATGCCTACCATCCGACTTCGGAGGGCTGTCAGTCATTTTAATTGCACAGAGCATTCAATTTGTAATCATTTAATTGTCATCTTAATGCGACTCGAGTCGATTCCCCACATGTCCCGCACAATAAACAAATTAGGGGCAGACAAATGTTCTCTTTGTATTATAATAGATCTTATCTCCAGACGCGCCTGGCCTTGAAATTCAACTACGAATGTGGAAAATAAACAATCAAATCGAGCGAACTTGTTTGCCGAACTGGTTGGGTTTGGTTTCGATTTCAGTTTTTTTCCCATCCCCCAGTTTGCTGTTTTCCTCTTACACATATGATTTTAAAGTGAAATTTACGGATTGTGTGTCACCTGGCCTGGGAGCACATGACTCAAGATTGACTCAGTTTTTGGTCCATTTTGCATACAGACTGGTACAGACTGGTGTTGACGATCTGCGGCTTTTCGGAGAAATGGAAATTGCGTTAAGTTATAAGACAGGAAAGTTTCTATAGTGTATAAATAACCACTTGTATATTAGTAGCCAATTAGAGACAACAAATGGAGCGCCAATCTTTTCCTGGCCTTCCACAATCGGTGCTATCTCTTAAAAGTGAATGGCAGACTTCCTGATTAATTAGTGAGCAGAGAATCTTCAAAACTAAATAGACATCTCAGCCATCTAGAGGAAATTCGACGAGAACTCGTCTCAGTTCAATGTCAGCCTCTTTTGTCAAGTACACGCTGACCTGCAAAATAAGCCATCCATCCAAACCGGATATATATAACATTATCCACATCACCTCCATCCCGCTTGGAATCCGCCCAACGCCCCCTCATCGTGGCTGGCCATTAATGAGACTCATATAATTTAAATGTATTTTTCGTTTGTTTACTTCTCTGGCCATTGTGGCCGGGCTTGAATTTTGCTTAGCCACGATCCACTCGGGTACAAAACGCAGATATAGCCATTTGTTTGGCTGTGTGATTGTGTGATTATGTAATTTCGTGGCTGGTTCGCTGTTTCGTTTAGACTTCTCGAGCCGCGGCTACAACGAGCTTACTCCGATGGCATTTTACTTTTGGTTTCGGTCGTATGTAGGTTGGGGTCACATCTCCGCCGGGCAATTGACTGCGATGACTGCCACCGGTTCTCTGCCCCTCATTGTTGCGAGCACGAAGAGCTGGCAAGAGACTCAGCGAAAAACTAGTCAAGAAAATAACGAAAAGCAACTTTAAACCAGACACTCAGTTTCAGTTGAGGGCCCAAAGAAAACAACTTTGTCAATTTTACGACAAAACGGTGGAAAATTGGGGAACACAAATCACGCAACCTGATCTAAGACTGAAAATTGGGGGTCGGTAATATATGTTTGGCTGGGGGAATGACGCAAGCAAAGATTATTAATTATTGATTTATAAAAACTAAACTAAATAAATCTAAAATTTCACGATCGTTAGGTAAAGGATTTTTAGAAATAATCATGTACTAGATGTATCTTATGAAATATTACAATTTTTCCATATTTTTAGGAACTTCCCCGTGCTGAACCCCTGCTGGGAGGAGCTGCTGGATCTGCCGATGACTCCGAACTGCAGAACCTGGAGCCGGAAAGTCGCAAGACTGATGCCACCCAGGACGCAGAGGAGCACTCCGACAAGGACAACTCCTACTCCGACAGCGATGAGACCGATGAGCTGCAGAAGTTCCCCGGCAAGATGCCACTCGAGCTGGACTTGAGTGACCTGGCTGCCGCCATTCTGCGCAACAACAAGAAGTAAGCATCATAAAGTTAGCTAAATATTGAAAATAATACCAAATTTAACGTAGGATTTGGTTATTTGTTTAGTAAATACCATTAATTTCTAATGCAAATGCTTGTTTCTCTTGAAACCTTTCTACCTCCCGACAGATCCCGCATGAACTGTGTGGTGGAGCGCAAGCACGCCGAGGAGATCGTCGACTCGCCCTCGAAGACGGTGGCACTGCCCTTCGGCGTCAACCTGACCACGGATCCCAAGAAGGCCCGCATCACCGGCGAGCGAATCTCGATCTTCTGCGACGGCGGCGACGACAAGGACAAGGAGGAGAAGGAGGCCAAGCGCCAGCGGGAGCAGGAGGAAGAGGATTCCGATGAGGATGCCGAGCCGCTGAGGCCCATGTTCATTCCCTTCCAGCGAGTGCCCATTCCCTTCGGACGCATTCCCGACCAGATGCCACTGACCCATATGCCCCAGAGAATGATGCCGCCAGCCATGCAGATGCAACAGCAATTGCCCCAGCAGCAGCAGCAGGGACCCTTCATCATCCGCCAGCTGCCTCCGCCGTTCCAGCACCTGCCCATGCGTCCACCCATGCCACCGCAGGTGATGCAGGCTCCTCGCATGGAGTCCTCCGAGGAGATGCAAATGCCCAAGATCCAGACCGTGCGCATTCACATGCAGCAGATTCCCTTCCGCGAGATTCATATGGCCGATGATGTGCCCGTGCAGATTCCCGCCCAGCAGCAGCGTCAGGAGATGCAGCAGCGCCAGGAAATGCAGCAGCGCCAGGAGATGCAGCAGCGCCAGGAGATGCAGCAGCGTCATGAGCAACAGCAACGCCAGGAGATGCAGCAGCGTCATGAGATGCAGCAGCGTCAGGAGCAGCGTGAGATCCCCCAGATTCAGATCCAGCCCATGCCCTTCGGAATGGCACTGCAGCGTGTTGGCATCACCGCCGAGGATCTGAGGAACATCCAGCGCATGGCTGAGGATCGCATCACCGACGAGCTGCGTCGCCTCGCCGCCGAGGAGGGTGCGGAATCCACTGAGAGCAGCGATGAAGACGTCTCCAGCTCCGCCGAGCAGGCCACCACCGAGGCCCAGACCACGGTGCCCCAGCAGCATCAGCAGCAGCAGCAGACCGCCCAGCCCGAACAGCACCAGCAGGAGGAACAGCACCAGGAAGTCAGCCAGGAGCGACAGGAGCAGCAGCAGGTGCCCCAGATGCGCATCCAGCGGCTGATCCTGCAGCCCCTGCCTGAGCAGCCCCGTGACACCATGACCCCGCCGATGCCCGACCAGCCCCAGCAGCTGCCCTTCGGCCGCATGGTTTACGGACGCAGTCTGGCCCAGCCCGTCCGCATCCCGGTGCCCATGATGCAGGCCATGGAGGGAGGAGCTGCTGCCCCCGAAGAGTCCGAGCGACCTCACTGTGAGTAAACCCATCTACTTTTTGGGATAAGCTGCTTTCAAGTGATCATGAGGGTGGCATCTCTTGGGGCATACTTCACTCAAAGCCAAAGATCAAGTTTATTAATGTGATAGTAATCAATGTTAAAGTCCGTTGTCCAATTGCTAATTCAATATTTTGTACTTCCAGTCGTCCAGCCTCGTTCCGTTTAAGTAACAAGAAGACCGCGTCTGTGATTGCTGCTGTGCGAATCGAATCTCGACGAGTGGGTAGACCGAGAGGAACTAGGAGAGGAGTCATCATGTACCCAACTAAACCCGAAGAATCTAAGATTGTAACCGAATCGTCTCGATTTGTTTTGTAATTAAAGCAGCTTAAAAGAAAAAGTAAAAACCAAAACTAATCAACAAGTTTTAAACATGCCTTTCAACCATATATGGCCTTCTTCAAAAAACGTTTCTCTATATATCATTTTTGTATATTTTATATTAATGCGTGTATAACATTCGAACCAACAACAACAACACAGATAGGTATCTCCTGTGAAGAAGAAAAAATTGTGAAAGTTTTCCATGTATTTTTCTTTCAGTTTTTTTGAATTGTCTACAGTTTTGTTTTTCACATACACACAAATAAATCCGATGGAAATTTTTGTACATAAATTATTATCGTATTTTTAATTAATTAATTGTCTTGTGTAGTTGTTAGTAAATTAAGAACGATGTTGAAGCTGATCTGATCTTGATATAATCAAATTCCAAAACCAACGACAGCGAAGAGAAATTTGTACATTATATATGAACATATATATACTATATACACACTCACATTTTGAAGCGAATAAAATTGTGGATAATTGGAAATCAAATAAAAGGTGTACTTTATTTGGCTACGGGATCTAGAAATATACATATATCGAAAAGTCCTGGTTAATAGGTTTGACTGGACCTGTTTCAATATTAAAAACACAGATTTCTGAGTAACAGTTCCCGCAATTATAAAAACATTTAAACAAGCAAGTGCGGATATTTACCATTAATTAAATTTTATTTCATTACATCTAACACACTTTCCATTTTTAGATACCGCTCAAATCATACAAATTCGCAAAAATCGAACAATATTATTTGTATAAGTTATAGTCGCCCGCATTTTTCTCGTTTTTACATATTTGTGCTTGTCTCTCGTTTACAGTTTATGTATATAATATATATTTCGTTCAGTGTAAGTTATATGCTTGTATATACAGTTTTTGCACGTGCACACGACAGGGTAATTACAACCGATGTCAGCAGCATCCGTTGGCTCAGCAAGGATGCGCAGTGAAATTGTGGTTTGCCTTAATTTTCTTTACAATTACGTTTTGTAAAATGTATTTATATATGTAACATATATGACTAATCGTAAGTTGCATTGACAAGTGGGGTAGATAGGGGTATTTTTGATTTTAAGGGTAGGGCATTTGGGTGGGGTGATGTACAATACGTTTTCGTAGCGCTTTCTTCGTTAAAACTAAATTCGTCTAAGCTTTTAAAACAAAACACGCTTGAATACAATACACTTCATAACCAAAAGAATTATGAGGGAAATATATACGGAGCTGGAAATAATGCAATGGGTCTACTAGACACACAATCTTTGTTCCTGGTCGGACTCACTCATCACTTGTATCACTGATCACTTGATTTCACCGATTTAGTCAAGCTATCCTTAATCCCTTAACTCCGCCTGCTCTTCTGACTTTCTCCGATCTGCTAGGATGTAAAGCTGTAACAACGCGAACGTAATTCCGTAAAAAGGTAGTTATTATTAGCACTTTATCTTCGTTGACTATGACTACTGGGGGTTCATTTTCGAATAGGTGACCGATAAGCGGCGCGATGATAATGACCCTCTAGCCATTCTCGCATTGATGGCCCTCGCAGTTGCCCCAAAAGATGCAGTTCCCGACGCCACTGTAGCATATCAGAGATACGGCTGTGAGGAATACGAGGCTGCAGATGGTGCAGGGCTTTCGTTCCAGGAAGAATCCGACCAGGTATAGGACTATGAACATCACGTGGGTTTCCATTAGGGCTGGATTTGTGGGTTTCGGTATCAGAAGTACGGGCAGCAGGCATTGTAGGCAATACATTCTGTGTGCGGTTGGGTGGGTGCGTTGTTGTTTCTGTGTGGGATCTGGGTTCTATTTGCGTGTGCGTTGACGTGGTCTTCCGCGCGGCCTGCAAGAGTCCCAGGAAACCCCAGGGGGTCGAGGTTAGTCTTAATTGTTCTATAATTACTATCAATCGTTGTCCTGGGCGAAGACCACAAACGCCACCAGACCACGGATCTGATGTCTCAGTTCTGGCACGGGTCGTCGCTCCACGGGATTACCTCCAATTGGGCCTCCTGGCGCTGACCTCTCGGTTTTCGGGTCGTTTAGGTGCTCGTTTGTTGTGTGTCGTTTAAAATCATCACATATTTACCAAAACTTACTTGTCTGGGCCTATCGGGCCCTATCGATATACCAATGTGGGTCTGAGTGGCAGTGTGACCAGCTGTTCGATTCGGATGGGCTGGAACTGCTGGTTCCGCGGAACCGATGAACCACTAATCGCCGCCAAGATTTGAATTATTTCCGCTTAAAACGGCAATTCATTTTAAGATATTTTTTAAAAACAAATGTAAAGAAAATTAAAATGCATAATACAGCTCAGATTTCTGATTATTTTCTTGAACAACAAAACATTACATCTTACTTTCTACTGTTCATTTCTTTTTCTTCGGAAGTCTTTTTTTTTGTGCACGCAATTATTTCTCATGGATATGCATTTTACACCTAAATACATGCAAGAATATCTATGTACACATGGATCAGCCGACATATGGCAGTAGTTGACACATACAAAGTAATTTAATTATACATTCCAGTACAGGGTATTATCATATATCGAAGGGTCAGTGGCCAGTGGTACCAGGAAAATCCATCCAATAAATCCAACTAAGTAGAGAACAATGGCCACCACTCGTCGCCAGAGATCCTGCTGCCACAGATCCTGGAGATCCGGCAGACCCATGTGATTGCAAAATGCGTGCACCAAGATCGGAGCCACTACGTGACCTGTTCGGGCAAATAGAAATGCCGAATAGAATCCAAACAGCGTGGTGTAGATAAACTGGAACAGTCCAATCAATAGGGCTGTGCTCAACTCCACTCCCAAGCTCAGGCGCTCGGCTATGTGATGCAAGTGGGCAACTCCAAAGAAAAGCGGCGTTATGAAAACGGCGACCAGGGGCGAAAAGCTCTGCAGGATCAGGGGCATCATGCAGGCCCGGAACACAAACTCCTCGCTCAGTGGAGCTATCACATGGTTGCGTACCCAAATGATGCTGCTGAAGGATCCTTTCCAGTAGTCGAGATCTGGAATATAAATCAAGCAGTGAGAAGGGCTGATAGGCATGGGTTCTATAGCCAGTACCGAAGTAGGAGCGTACGGACTCGTTCTGCATGTTGACAAAGATGGGTCCCAGGAAGAGCAGCACCGTCAGGCTATATGGTATCACAACAGCTTGCCATAATCCCTCCAAGCGGAAACCCAGCAGCGTGGGAAATGGCACCCGACTGAGGAGCTCCGGCGATGAGAAGAAGTAGACAAAGAACGGGGCTGCCAGCATCACCATGGACACACTGGCGAACCTCCTCTTAATCGTGGTTGGATGATCCCGGTTGTGTTTAGAGCTCCAAATGTAGAGGCTTCCCACGTAGAGAACGGCCAGCACGAAGCAACAGCTCACCGAGGTGACTACCGGGATCTGGGGCAATGATTCCTGGACTACATTTTCTTTCATTGTGACTTCGGCTTCCGTCTCGCTTAGATTTTTCATTCAATTTGTGTTATTCGTCATTCTTCGGTGACCATAAGCCGAAAAAAGTACACAATCGCAGCTGATTTCCAGCTGATTGCAGAAGTAAGACCACTACTTCGTATGAACTAGTTCAGGATGGTAGTGGAATTTGGTATACTTGAGTATATTTTAATAACCGTGGGAAATACACGCACTTTTTGGTCACATTGAGTTGTGATAAGCATCGTGGAACGGCGGCGATTTTCGGTTGTGTTTTTAAACTAAATTGCAGATAGTGGTGTAAAAATAAATAAATACCCAGTTAGCCAAGGTATTCAGTTACCAGCGCAGAACAGCCAAGATGTCGCTCCTACTGAAAGCAGTCACCACAGCCCGCCACATCGTTCATAAGGTTTCCCCGCACATACATATGTCCCCAACTCTGCGAAAAGAGAAGTTGAAGTGACCTTTGTCTTGGCTTTGTTTATCTTTCGATGATAGGTGCCCGTGCGAAACCTGAATCTCCTGGAATTCCAGAGCAAGGATCTCCTCCAGAAGTATGGAGTGGCTATACAGCAGTTCAAGGTATTGGATAACTCCAAGGCAGATGCCGAGGTCGTCAAGACTTTTGGTGAGTGGAGGAACCATGCCGGTGTTTATGTAATCCCTGGGTTAATTGATGTTAAATCGTGTGTTTCAGAGTGCCCGGAATACGTGGTGAAGGCGCAAATTCTAGCCGGTGGGCGTGGCAAGGGAACTTTCGACAACGGCTTCAAAGGCGGCGTCCATATCACCTCCAAGTAATATAAATTAGGTCCATTCTGGCTCTCATTCTCCTTTTATCTTAAAATTAATTAGTCTGTTTATTGATGTTCAACAAATTCATTTGTATATACGATTTATCTTATCTTTCTGCGCATATTGGCAAGGAACATCGTAAAAATTAAAATATGTTTAATAACAGTCAAAATGATAAAAGTGAATGCCAGCGTGGACCTCAATAATGCAAGTGATAAGACTTATACTAATAATTAATTCTAATTTCGGCAGCAAGAGCGAGGTGCTGTCGCTTACCCAACAGATGATTGGAAACCGACTGATAACGAAACAAACGCCCAAATCGGGAATTCTGGTCAACAAGGTCATGGTGGCACGCAGTATCAACATTACCCGCGAGACATATCTCTGCATCTTGCTGGACCGCGAGCACAATGGACCCGTGTTGATTGCCTCGCCTGCAGGGGGAATGGATATCGAGGCAGTGGCCGAGGAAACCCCTGAGAAAATTAAGACTGTCCCGCTAGACATTGGCAAGCCCATTCCGGAGTCGACGCTCTTGGAGGTGGCCAAGTTCTTGGAGTTCAAGGGAGACTCCGTGAAGCGTTGTGCTGAGGAAATTCAAAAACTCTATACTCTCTTCAAAGCTGTGGATGCCGTACAAATTGAAATCAATCCGCTGGCCGAGACGGATAACGGAGAAGTCATCTCCGTTGATGCCAAGCTGAACTTTGACGACAATGCCCAGTTCCGTCAGAAGGATATTTTCTCCATGGACGTCACCGAGGAGGAGTCCGATCCCCGGGAAGTGGAGGCGGCCAAGTACAATCTGAACTACGTGGCCATGGATGGAAACATTGGTTGCTTGGTAAATGGTGCCGGCTTGGCCATGGCCACCATGGACATCATCAAGCTGAATGGAGGCGAGCCCGCCAACTTCCTCGATGTCGGCGGTGGCGTCAAGGAAGATCAGGTGGCCAAAGCCTTCGAGATCCTTACTGCTGACCCGAAAGTCAAGGGAATCCTTGTCAATGTCTTTGGCGGCATTGTCAATTGCGCCACCATTGCCAATGGCATTGTGGCTGCTTCCAAGAAGCTGCAACTAAATGTTCCCTTGGTCGTGCGATTGGAGGGCACCAATGTGAATCAGGCTCGCGAGATCCTGAAGAATTCGGGCCTGCCCATTCAGACCGCCAGTGACTTGGATGACGCCGCCCACAAGGCTGTGGCTGCACTCAATTAGGGGAATGATTCAGTAGAGAATGTCTTCCAGATTAATACGACGCATATTAGCATTTACAAAGGTTGGGCCTTTTAAATATAAGTTTTTATCGACAATATAAACAAAATATGTTATATTCTGTAAAAGAACTATATGTTTTTTCTCTTAAAACAGCTCGATTATGGGGATACCTTAAACATCTAGCAAAAAATAAAAATGATCAAAAAACATGAATTTCTTAACTTAACAAATTATTTTTAAATACTGTTCTGGTATTTCTTAGTAGCGCTGCGCTTGGTATTTATTTTGAGGCATCACGGTATTTTGCATTGATATCAGGGCGGTCACACTGCAGTCCACACCCAAACAGCAAACCAAACAAACATTTCCCCAGGAAACCAGCGAAATTCCAATAGAATTTCCCACTCAAAGGATGCAAAAACCATCCCACTTCGCACGCGAGGATTCCCAGGAGCACCTGCCCACCAGCCACACCCAAAACATCCACACGGTCAACATGAAGAGGCGCACACTATCCGGAAGTTGTGGCGTTGGCGTCTTCGTGTTCGCCTTTGCCTTCATTGTGATTGCATTTGCAACGCCCAGTTGGTTGGTCAGTGATTACCGCATCACGGGCGCCAAGTTGGATCGCCTGGGATTGTGGGTGCACTGCTTCCGGTCGCTGCCGGACGTGAACGACGACAGCCAGCGCAGATTCTTCGTGGGCTGCCGATGGGTGTATGACCCATTTACCACAGGCTACGATGAGATCCGGGGATTCCTGCTGCCCGCCTTCATGATAGCCACTCAGTTCTTCTACACCTTGGCCTTCATCGGCATGTTGCTGTCCGCCATCGGAGTACTGGTCTTCATCCTGTGTGCTGGTCCGGATCAGAAGCACTTCATAACGCTCATTAGATCGGTGGGATATGTGCTCCTCGGGGCTGGAGTAAGTGCAGCCATTGCAGTGATCGTTTTCGCTGGATTTGGCAACCGGAATGGCTGGATGCCGGAGCACGCGAATAATTGGTTTGGCTGGTCCTTCATCCTGGCATGTGTGGGTACTGTGCTCACCCTGGTGGCGTCTAGTTTGTTCCTCAGTGAAGCCCACGTGCAACACAAGAAAAGAATTCAGTTCAAGGAATCGCAGACGCGGTTTGAGCTGGTGCGCGGATAGTTGCCGGTGAGTACTTGACTATATCCAAGTCAGGGTCACTCGCTTAACCTTCTTGCATTGTCTCTTTTAGTCGTGGCAGCTGGCACACTTGCACCAAGGAAAACACAAGCAAGCCAAGAGGAAAACATAACAAAAACATTCCGTCCCCACAAAGAATTCTCACCCTAAACATTACAGTCGAACTTCTCTAAGGCGAACCATTTTAGCTTACATGTTGTGGAAGTGCACGTTTTTAATTTTGTTTTATACTCGGTTTTTCTTACATGTTGTGGAAGTGCTTACATGTTTTTCTTACATTTTGTAAAAGTGCACGGTTTTTCTTACATTTCCAACATACTTTAAAAATTGAAATTCTGTGGTATCCATGTGCATAGGCAATTGTTAAAGTATTCATGTCGGAAGCATTAGTTTTATAATAGTTTAATCGTTTAAATAACGGTGGTGAATTAAAGAAACTAAACAGCTTTGTTATTTTGGATTATCTATTTTTTGTCATATATTCATCGATTTTCACTAACAAATTTATTGTAGTTCAGAGAAGTTCGACTGTACCCGTAGTTTTAATTTAACAAGTTTATGCAATTGACGCCCTCACCGAGTCACAAGCTTTCAGTTTTTGGTACTTATATATCATCCATCCAATCGAACAGATCAGTTCCAAGAGAAGACTGAATGTTTTTCCGAATGAAAACCAGAACCATGCGCAGCTACTATCAAGCAAAGATGCTCAAACAGATGACTCACGTTCATGTAGAGTATTCTACAGTATTTACATATCAATTTTCGCTCAATTAACGCCCAGACACAAACAGCATCCCCCTCCGCAAATGTACCTTTTTTTTTTTTTTGGAAAAAGTCGCAGGCTAGTCGGAACATTCATCGAAATATTACACTTGTGCCTTAATTAGATAGAACTATTATGGTGTAGTTCGTAGCGCCTGAAAACAAATTATTGTTATAAACATACCTGAACGACTGACCTGCGACTAACTATAGAGATCATTGAATTGCATAAACTTCAGCTAAGCTAGTGCCTTAATTAAGTGACCAAGAGAAAGGTAAGCGAATTCCGTGCATTAGATTTAAGAACAAAACATTACCCTTTGAACTCGAATATTCCGCACAAGTTACCTTCTTTTAAAGGTATTAATAAGGTCTGTATTAATAATCCGTCCGTTGCACTTGTATTTGCATTTGTAGCATGTTCTAAACCGAGAATTTACCAATGTATTAAAACAATACATACGTCTTTTACCCTATATACAATAATATGTGTAACATTTTTATGTACAAACGACTTTTAGCTAAAGCGAAGAATAATAAAGTTTTTATTGTATACAACAGCTGAATGCATCTTTAGAGCGGGTTCAAGGCAGCTGGGGTCCAAAATGAGATCCGAAACAATGAATCTCCTCGCCAGTCAGTTTGGTGCATTCGACTTAGTTTTCCCATGGCGTTTGCATTTTGGGAAAACCGAACAAACTTTTTGTTGTCAGCTTTTGTTGCCGTTGTGGCAACGAGTCGGATATGCATCACTTTACTGCAGTAACAACTGATATGCCAACCGATTGTGGGCTGCACCATGTGTCAACCCAGCGATTTCGGAGCTGCCTTTTTGTGTCGGACTATTTGTTAATGATTGATGCAATGGAAAAAAAATGCCTTGATAGAAAATGTATAACGCATATCATTGGACTTTATGAAGCGTAAAAAATGTAATTGTTCTTCATATTTCGTGGTGACCTCTAATTCCATTTAAATGATCTTATACAAACATATAATTTTAAAATGAAATATGAATAGAGTAAAGAGTTTGTATAGAATGATGCAAAATATATCAACGTTTAAGATTTAAAATCAAAGCGATGTATTAATTCATCTTTGACAAGGCTACTTTCAAATGTCTCAAGATTTTCGAAATACTTGATTAATGGTTCATGGAATAAAAGTTATAATCTGCGTGGCGTACGGCCTTTCAAACGTTCCAAAAATCACAAAACTATTAGATCATTTTGTCAACAAAACGACGGAGTCGGAGTCGACGTAAGCACTTAAAAAGTCTTTTAAATGGTAACCATAACAAATTGAAATATATTAATTTGTCTGGCTTATAAAGGCATAATTAGCAAGGCAGGTGGTAAGAAATACCGATCTAAAAAACCCCACCCACGCCTTTAAAACCCGACTTGGCAATGACATTCAGGGAAGAGACGAAAAGAAAAATGTATCTTTTAACGATTGTGAGGACTTGCTGAAGCGTGAAATCTCGCCGAAGATAGTTCGGATTGATGGATGGATTACGCGCAGCACACTCGCTACAAATCTGATTAGCGAAAAAACCTAGTCAAATCAAGCCGGATGTTCGGATGCCTCATGACTGACTGGGTTGAAATAGCCTTGGTCGAGGAAACTGCACCAAAATATGTGCTAAACGCAAATTTATTTACGGATTTTATTATGGCCACCATATCGAGAGTGCGAAGCCTCCGCATTCACTTTTTGGTGACCTCACTCACTTTCCGTTAGAATGACTAACAAATCGGCTTACTCTACTCGTTACACGGAACGGATTAAGAACTTTGAAATAACGCGGCTTAAACCAACTGACTGTGTGAAAATTGTCGAGTTTTGCCGCACGGATTTCTTGATCACGGCTCTTCTGCCTCGCATTTGAATTTGATTGACGGACAGCTTCGAAATCCCCTTTGGGAGCAGTTTGCTGATTACAAGTGATTTAAGAGACAGGGTAATTATAAATGCTCATGGGAAATTAGCGTGGACAAACAGCACTAATTATATGAACTGTGGCCAACATACAAATACTTGTATGTCTTACTTAATTTATGTATGAGTTCTCATATACACATCCGTACCTAAAACTAAAAACCAATATATTAATTTAATACATTTTATTTTGGAAAAATAGGAATTTAACTAAAGGAGAATAAATAGTTGCTTAATTGGTTTTAAGAGGTTTCAAGATTTTTCATTAGCATAAAATGCTGCCATCACACCGTACAGTAGAACACGATATGAAGAACCAGAACCTGAAGTTAATTTCGTGACCGAGCCGAGGCTTCATTAACAAAGGCAACATACCTGTTCTTAGGCGCTGGCCAAAGATTAATTGCCAAAGCTTTGGCCACAAAGAAACATTTTGCATAATATTTTCAATCAAATCGAGCGTCAATGAACGCTTATAAATTGAAATTAAAAGTTATCCGCGGTATTTCTTTTTTTTTTTGCGGGAAGATTAGAAAACCTAAAATTGAAACTGAGAGTTGGGGTGCGCGATTACGCAAAGGTCTCAAAAATAAACTTTTTACGAGTATAATCTATAGGCAAAGCCATTAGATTGATTACTATTTGCCACACGCAAACTTTCCTCAAAACCACGCTTTTTTTGAAGTTGGTAAGTGCGGCTGCTGGTCATCAATAAATATTGATTGAGACGTGAAGGTCGGGTTTGCTCTGGGCTCATTAAAACTTTATGGACTTGTCGATTTTATTTTATAATCGAAATAGAACAACTTTATGGCACTTTACACAAATTGGTCTGAAGCATTTAGAACAGCTTCTGCCTGATTAACCTGTCTAGCCGAATGGAATTAATCAATATTAAGAGCTTTTCTTTATTGGTACTCTGATCTCAAATGTAGCTGTCGTTAATGCTTAGGAAAAAGGATTTTGTTGATTTTTTCTCTGGGTTGTGACTTCTGCTGACGTGGCTGACTAATGAGGAATTTATTTGAATTCCTGTTTTGGCTATTCTAATCGAGATTAGCATGCTTACAAAAGTTTCATAAGAGATGTTTGCAAAAAAAGCAAGTTTGCATCATGAATATGCAATCAAGAAGTTGGAACATTTCTTTATAAGTTGAATGAATCTGATTGTCTGGTTTATATAAAAAGAAGTTCTTTGATGCGAAACGAAAGCGGAAAGATAAAATGAAAAAACTTGTATTGTTATATGCTTATAAAGGCAATGAAATGTTTGACTTGAAAAAAACCCCACACCTTAACGTTGATTTATATGTACATATCTTGCTAAGGATATTTATAGAATCCATTTATTTTCAATGAAAGTTCTTGCCGAAGTGAAGGTAAAAGTCTTCAAAGAAATAGTAAACACGCAAATTTGTTTGCTTTCCTTTGCTGCTGCTGACTTTCGTTGAAAGTGAAAGCATTTCTAAGCAGATTAGCATATCTGAAAAATTTGTTTGCCTTTTTTCTAGTCGTGTCTGGGTAGTTTTTACTTCATTCATTCTTGTCAGCTAAAATGCCATTCCCAAAGTAAGACATCAGCATCTAATAGACCACCCGCAAAGCTAGCCATCTAAAGTTTCGCCTCATATGTGACACTCTATAGGTTAAGTATACGCGGCGTGTGTCAGATAGTTCCTTGAACTTCACATAGTTACCTAAAAAGACGAACGTGGCAAGGCGTCTGAGACAGTTTGGGGGCTTTAAGCTTATGCTTAGTTAATATAGAATGTTATACTTGTATGACAGCATAACCAGTATCATCTAGATGGCCATAATTCTGTCGGCCAGAGATATTATCATTCAAATGGTCCACACCAAAAATCACCGAACACCTAGCACTTGCGTCACCGAAATAGTGATCACCTTTAGATGTGCTTCCAAACTAAAGAAGATGGACAGTTTTTGGGGAAGCACAAAGGCGGAGGCAATGCCATCAGTTCTATGCAAAACACATTTCATAACACTTTTAGATAAGAAACTTGTCTCGGATATGAAAGAAAAGTCCTATTAACACTCCATGCCAGCTGAAACGAGTTCAGGTTCTTGAAACAAAACTACAAATTTCGAATTCTAATTTATGCACACACATTTTGCCCAAATCGAATCAGCAAATTTTTGCAAATAAAACCAGCTACCAAACGAACATCGATTAAAATCAATAAAAATATAGAGAATGTGGTTTCTGGTCCGCCCATCGTAAAAGTTCAGTTGTTTGGTTGGTAGTTCTTTATTCGTCTTGAATTTGTATATTTTGCAAGATTTTTTATGATCTGATTTAAAGTGAGCTTTGTGTGCTAATGACGAACTAGAGAATGTATTAAAGTTACCTAATTGAATTATTTCCATGCTAATTTCTGTTTTCCCTCCTCCAAATGGATCGTAAAATGTTTGCTGTTGCTTTATGCATATTTGCCTTTTGCTCCTCATTAATATCACAATGTGACACCTGAGCTGGGTAAAATATATATATCAATTTTTGGGCCCACAATCTTTACTTTAACTTAAACTAATCGCTGCTTTTATTTGTGCGAAGCTTCAATGCCACTGTTTTAGTTTTCGCGCTTTTTAGCTTAGTTTCAATTCTTTTTAAAGCGATTTTGGGCTTGTATTTCCTGTCCAGAAAATTATGTGTGCAACGCATTATTTTTCGATAAATCACAAGAGATAAAAAATCTGGGCAGGTGAGGCGTTTGAAAGGTGTTTTAAGAGGTTGAGCCACCTGAAATAGTGGGGATTTAAATTTAGGAATCCTCTTGTTTATTTTCGTAAACAATCTTTTAGCTTTTTATGGGCTAAAGGTTTCGTCTTGACCACTTAAAGTTGCGGATTTTTTCGTGTGAGCTTAATTTGGTGTCATAATTCAAGCAAATGCCTCGCTTATAAATTAATAAATATTTATAGTTTTAATGCGCGGCTTAGGCAAATATTAGCTCGAAATATAAGCCCACATAAGCATTGGTCAAAGTGTATCTCTAGTTTTTAGGCACTCGAAACGGAAGTAAGCAATCAAATTCAATCCGTGGAAGCAGATAAATTTCGCTTGGCGTTGACAGTCAACGGCACAAAAGTGTATTGATTGATTGCAAGAAGGTGAAGGAAATTTGTTTGGTGTTTTGTCTGACCATGTTCGACCTTGAGGTTTTTGCTCCACCCCCTGAAGAGTTCGCCCATTCCACGAATTATAGCCAATACATGGAGTTTCAATGTTCTCTCAGTGTTCGGCCACAATTTGTATGCAAATTATTTGTTTATATGTTACCAGATGCTACTACAACCTCTGCCTTGGCGAAACAAGTTCTTGGTGTCTGATATCATTGATAAGATGGCCAAGCGGATTATGTTACTGGCCAAATGCCTAAGACAATTGTGGCCTGTCACTCCATCAGACCCGGTCGTCATTTGTCTTGGCATTATTTCAAATCTTAATTGGCCGCGAATTCTTTTTCACTCTCGTGAATTTCTCACGTATTGTGCGATGACCAATGCGGCGAACAGGGGCGGATTCAATATATTATTCGGGCGCTACTTTATTTCTTTTATTCCAAATATTTCCTTTTACACCTGAAACAAACAAATTTTGAGATCAGTCTTTGGAAACCTGTTTGCTATTTCGACAAGGTTTTAAAATAAAGTGTTTAAGTGTAAATAAATGTTTTAATATTTCTGAGTCTTTGCGTGACCAGAGCGACTGAAGATCTTCAACCTGATCTTTTAGGACCGCTACTGATTTTGTCAAAATTCATATATTAGGCCTGCTATTCTTTTGATTATCTAAAATTTGACTAATGCATTTTTAATGAAACGCCTCGAATGACATCACGTACAATTTGTTGGTCGAGAAAAAGAAACTACCAGAAAAAAGCCTAATAATTGGCAACTTGTCAATGAGCTCTTTTGAAATTCCAAAAGAATTGCGTGTAATAATTACAAAATCATTCTCAGGCTCCTCGGCTTGTTAAATTCCCAGCTGCCATTAAATTCTGCGAAAACTGCAAGCGGATGTAAATGTATCTTTGCCATAGCATCTGTGACGCATCCATGAGTGCGTTTCGCCTTTCACTTTAGGCTGCCTCTTTCAAAAAAAAAAAAAAAATTTTTCCTTTCAACAGCATCCTGACATTAAAGGATTACAGAGGCGTTCTTCTCTTTTGCCATCAAATTGAAATTAAAGTCCAGCAGACTTTACTTTCGGCCGGAAATGGGGTAAGAAGAACAATCGAGAAGAGGCGATCAGGATTGCGAAGTTGATTTATTTTTGGGCCCCAGATTGCACAAGGGCAACATGGCAAGAGTCATTCAACTCCGGTTACATAAGCATCGATGCGTGCAACTGAAGGAGGAAACAGCTGCTGGTTGGGGACGCGCGTTGATATCTGAGATGTGAAGGTCGTCGTCGAATGCAACATGCAACATGGGGACTTGGGATCAAGGGACTTGCCCTGCGCACCCATGACTCATTGGCAGTAGAGCAAGCCATTCGGCTGAACGATTTATGGTAACGATTCCCCATCTCCCCATCTCCCCATCTCATCGGCTTGAGTCAGAGGCGTTGACTTTTGGTATTTGGTCGGCGAGACTGCAGCAAATTGATTTTTTGGTAGGCTTTCTAAATTTGGTGCTTCATGTGCACATTCTGTCTACCCCAAAAATGTTGGCCATTGCGTAGCTGACTCGTTGTTGGCATGAGATATTTATCTTAGCTCAGTTTAACTTGCTCAGTTATTGTTCCTTTTTTTCCATATCGAACTTGACTTGTGCTTGTTAAAATCGTATATTTCTATTTATATTTTTGATTTCTTGATAGTTTCGCCGGCTTATGAATTTGATTAACAAAAATTTAACTTGTTTTGCGACTGATGATAGCTAAAAGTTTTTCGTTTTGGGGTTTTGTTCTCTCAAAGGTCATTTCAAAAATATATATATATTTATCGTGTGACTCGTTGTGGTCATAAAATTTTAATTTTGTGTGGGCTCAAAGTTTGCAAAAAAATTATATATTATATATATACAATGTGTATTTAAATTCCACGCTGTCTCAAATTTGGATTAATCTCAATTTAAATATGTACAATTTCTTTGTCCCTTTTCACAGCCTTAATACTACTGCAACCACTTGCTGCTTTTTGGGTTTATCGCGAAATTATGTTTAATAATTTTACTGTCAATGAAACGCTGTCAAAAATGCATTTACATATGAAATAAAATTAAAGCAAAACAAAAGCCCCGGTTTTTAAATATTTCATTTCGTTTTTCCTTTATTTCGGTCAACTCAAAGCTGCCAAAACTAAAGCAAAAAAGTTTAATAACGATTTGAGAATGTTGAAGGCTTAACAGGATAAAGATACACCCCGTTTACTAAGCGATGTCAAGGTCATTCGTGGCAGGTAAGATTGGAGGAATGTTGAGAATGCATTTAAGTATTTGAGTTTTTACGTTTTTAGTGAGTATTAAGTTTTATTAGCATTGCTTAATATGGCCTATGGCGACTTGCTTAAAATATATATTTGTTTAATAATTTACTAAGCCCACGTAGACTTATTTTTAAAAAAATGATCACCAGCTGCGTTGGACGGTTGCACGCTGAGCCAATTTCGATTTCATTGGATTGCCCTTTCCTTTAGGAGGAGGGTATCTTAGAAGTTTAAATCAAAAGGGTTTTTTTTTTATTAGTAATTATTTACATAATAATTAATTAATATTATTGCAGTTCTGATTGAAGAGTATTTAACTTTTGATTTCCTCCAGTTCTGATTGAAGGGTATTTAACTTTTGATTTCTCCACATCTGCTTACTTCCCTTACTCATTTCTGCTTTTATAGTCGAAAATACTCATACATTGTCTTCCATTCGGTGGGTTTTATCCTTGACTTAAGCATTGCCATTAACTTCATCCTGTTTAATGTCCAAGAGCGAAGAAGCTGATTATTTTCTGTGTCAATTGCTGCATTCAAGAGCAAGCCAAGTTTTTGCAATAAGCTGAAATTATTTCCCCTTTTCTGGCAGTCGAGCCATTTAATCCGCAAAATTTGCTTTAAATGTCAGCAACTCTTTAAGAGATGTATGCAAAAAAATGTTGAGCAGCATTCTAGCTAAGCCGATCAGCAAACGGAAGTGTTTCGCAACTAAATGAAAAGGTGTCTGAATTATGGCAAATGGATTGGTAATCCTATCTGACATTGGGCTCGTGAGCTCATGGATTAATAGCTTGGCTACTGTGTGAGTTCATATCAGGATTTAGAAATATATAAATTCTGGCTCATTTGTGATCAATAGCTGCATAGGTATTTTAATTATGCCCCTTGCACACACAGGTAGAAAAATTAGTATATGCGGAAATCGTGCGTCAGACTTAATAAATCCAAACTCGCCTGGTTTTTTGCACAGCTTTAATTAAATCAATAAACCATCTAAATATTTTTTAGCAAAATATAAAACGTTAACGGCGGGAGCCAGAAGAAGACGACAATCTATCTATATCTATGTATATATTCGATAAACGATAAAATTAAATCAAAATAAACACGAAAAACTCGAATTTTCAATTAAATACAAAAAACGTTCTTTGAACAAACAAACACGCGAGACATTAAAACAATAAAGAGAACAAATGAGATGAGGAAAAAATTCAGTCTCTAAATATTAATGAACCCCAAGAACCTGAAAGTGAACTTAAATTCTTGAGACACGCAAGCACATCCTAGAGAATTCCGAGCGAGAGAGCTTGAGTAGCCGAGCATCGAACGCTTCGAGGAGAGTGATCAATATATCAAGTATACGACGTGTGCCTCCATTGTGGCTTAGTGGCTCATCTCTCCGGCGCTTGGCCAAATAAATTTACGAATCCGGCGAAAAAAGCAAACTCGTTCCAGTCACACTCACACTCTCACACACTCGCACACACACACTCACGCACTTTAAGCCAGGTCTCTGTATGGGTTAGGAGCTGCTCTCAAGTACGATTTTTAGTCTTTTTGTGTCGAGTTGGTTTTTTCGCCTTTTTGTTTCGCGTCTGCCTCTGTTTATATGGCTAAGACTCGATGCGTTCATCTTCAGTTCGTCCACATCGGTCACCACGGTATGAGCTCTAGTTTAGGCTCCTAAAAGTAAATACTAAAACACTATCCAACCATTTGTGATCAATGGCCATAGCAGCCCCAAGAGAACTGTACTAATTGCAAGGATAAACAAGACGGAATATTGCAAATTCCAACTTTATAGTGCGAAACTGTGTGCCTGCTTGCGATTCAATACAACTAAAATAAACCTTTTCTTCTTTTCAAGATTGGAAAAGGGATAACTGAGTTTATTCCATTGTAAAATTCAAAACACCTTAATATTTACTGGCGTTTCTTGTGTCAAAGAAACCATAAAATTCGTTGCAAAATGGCGCGTGCTGCTCTGTGCATGGTAAGTTAAAAGAATACTTAAGAAAAACATTATTTTTTTATTATTCGATCTTGGAAAATATATATATCGCTTAATGTCTAATTGCCTAATTAAAAACGATGGTAGTCTTCAAAGTGAGTTTCTCAAATTTGGTGTTAAAAAAATGTATGTCTTCGTCTGGCCTCCAATTTGATTTTTATTTTATCCCATACTAAATAATGGCATTTAGCACTTGGCTAAAAATATTGTCAAACATTAAATGCAAGTAAACACGTCTGCTTAGTTAGTCTGCTCACATTCGAATGTCGAGTAATGCATGGCAGCCTATTTCGACGACTAGAATATTTGTACATTTAATAACTGATATTCATGACGGAATTCCGTTTTTAACGAGCGTTAACAAGTCCGGGTCAAATTATAACTATTTCGGAACCCCCTTTTCACTGTTCAGTTTATTTGCACAAGTATGGGCTCGAAGGCGACTTTGTTAATAATAGTAATAATAATAGTAATAGCCAACCGGCATTTTTCTGGGCAAACAAATACGAATACCGGCAATTTCGAAACTATGCGATGTATAGGTATTTCTGTTTGCTTTGGCGCACAAGGCAGAAGCAAAAGTATTGCCCAGTTTTTATTTGACTTGAATTTTTTGTGCTGCTCACGCTGCTGGATTTTATTATTGCTGTTTGGAATCGAATCGATACTCGGTACGATTTTGTTGTTTTTAGCCAGGGTTAGAAGATTAGTCAACGGACAAAAATGCGCCAGTAGGGAAATACGTTGTTTATCAAAAATAACGAATTTCTGGGTATTTAACTGAGATTCGGAAAGAGACTGCGGTTTTTGACATTGTGTGCATTATGCAAATTCCCAGTTTTTGTATCATTTGTCACTTTTTGTTGTCCAACTTGAGGTTAAATAAAAGCATGAGTCAAGGACTTGCTTCATTACGAAATACTATCACAAAAGAGTGTTAATTTGATTATGGCCAAAGAATTCTTAGATAATTCTTATCGAAAGCTGTTAATTGTTTTTGCTTGTGACTGCTACCCGTTCTTTATCTGCGGTTTTTCGAGCACCTGAATTCCCCAAAAGGTGCCATAATGATGCTCTAAGTGAGCCGCGATACTATCTCTATTCGGCAGAGAAAAAATGGATTCAGTACGGGGCCCTTGTCACCTGCCAAATTGACCCAAACCACGATGGTCTTTTGGGGTTAGGCTCTGCGTGTTTCGGCATTTATCACCGTCGCCTGCGGCAAAGCCGCTGTTTTGGGCCAAGATATTCTGCCCAACACGTACGCGGCCAACAAACAAAAAGAGGGGTAAAAAAAAGCAAACGAAGTCGGGGGAGAAAAATATTGTTAATGCCCAGCGGCACCACGTTGACAGGGCATCTCATCTTGGCCCACAATTCTTTTTATTATAAATTTGCTCTCCGCTCGGGTTGTGCGGAATTTTAAAGAGTCCGCGGAATTTTCTTTCCCGCTTCTTTGGCAGTGCAATCTGAAGAGATTTAATCTGGCAGTAGGCAAGTTGAGTCATAAAATGGAGTAGCCAAAGCCGAGTTTGGCATGACAAGCAGTTGGCTGCTGGCAAGCTGGGCAATTGAAATAAATTACGGCATTTATTTGGTTGTAAAATGGAGCGTTATGTCCTATGAATAGTTAAGTCTTTACAGTTACAAGAGCTAAAGGCGTAATTCAAATGGCGCATAAAAGAATTAATTCATGAAATGGGCTAGTTCCAGTTACATATTATTCCCAAAGCCAAAATTAAAGAAAGGGCATAACACTCCTGCCTTCCCAGGAAACATGGACACAAAATCATGTTAATGAACTTTTTATCAAGCTGGTCGAACTTCCAGCAAGAACATCATTACGTAAGAGTTCACGAAACCTCATCATCGGTTCTATTATTTCTCCTACTTGCCAGGTAACTTTCGATATTTAAAGGCACAAAAAGGTCGGCTTTTATGTCGCATTAATTTATGAGGCTTCTTTGTTGCCATATGCTTGTGCAAATTTCAGTATGGAATCTGTATCTAAAATACGAATCTAGAAATGCAAATTAGGGCTCGATCGCTAGTTGGCGATTGGAAGATACAATAGCCAAAGGCGGCAACTACGGATATATACAAAGTTTTGGCAGCGATGATGGAGGAAGTCTTTGGGGCTGGTTTAGTTAAAAACGAAAACGCTATACAAAGAGTATTCATTAGGCTCCAAGCAAATGCCAAGAGTTGAAAGTAAAAGTTTAAAATAATATGATGTCATTCGGGATGCTCGACCGCCAAGCCCAACGGTTTATTTTTTAATTACTTTAATAAATTAGAACGAGTCCAGTGGAAGTTCAGTGACTGTCGCAAAGATAATGAGCTACACATTCGGTGGACAAATTCCCAGGTTTGTCTCAGATCAAACTGGCTAATTCGTTTGCCTATCGATGGGTTCTGATCTCATTAGCACTTTTCTGCTCTCAAAGAATTCTAGACGCGTTGCTAATTAAATTCAGGTCTGGATTAACTGGAAAATCCAAACCAGAAGGCCATCGCCCACAGCTGGTTATACTTGTTCCCCGAAATATTTTCGTTTTGATTAAATTAGGTTTTTTTTCTCGAAGATCGCAAAGTTTGTCAAGTTCCTATAAGTCTTTTGTTGCTGCGGGTACCTTTTTTTTGTTGCCAGGTTGTGAATGCGCGTTATGAATGTTTGTTAGGCGTTTTTACTGTATCTCTTTATCTCTTACTTTATGGAAATGTTTGGCGGAAAGCTGAGGCGTGTGTTTAAGCAGGCATTTCACAATTCCCCAACAATGTTTCGTTAAGGAGAAATTTCACAATTCCCTGCAGCCCAACACTGCAGCCCAAATAAAAAACCAAAAAAAAAAACACAAAGAAGATGTCATCGATTAAGGTCGCCGTCCCGCAGTCAGTTGCATTTTGATTCGATTTATAAATTTGTATAAAACAACAGCACATTTTTTCTTGTTCAATTCATTGGCCGCCGGCAAAAGATCGACCTTGAAAAGTATAAATACTTACACGAAAAAAGTTTCGCTTTAACCGCCAAAGGGCAAAAGCAGTCGAGATACTTCAGCGAAAAGTGTGGGGATGACTAAACCGGTTACTTTTCGGTTGATTATGATCGTCATGATGAAGAATGCGCTGTACATCTGAAATCATGTTAACAACAACAGAAACAACCGCCGTGCGTGCGAATAAGTCGATTAATAAATTGTCTTCGTCGAGTTATGCAAACTCTTCAAGATTCATTGGCTCATAGAGCATACTAGCATGCTGGATGGTACCCATAGAACGCTTTGGTTCTCAAGGCGTAGCCATGTGCGTTTTTTGGGTCACAACGTCAGTTGCCACTCGGTTTTGCATGATCTATGCGGCTTGGAATTGATTTACTGCATTCGCAACGCGAAATTCGCCTCTTCGCACTTCTTTCATGACGCGACGTCTGTATACACACATTTTGGCCCACATTTGTTGGCTGGCTATTGAGTTTAATTGATTGGCAATTGATGTGCGGCTTGTGCAGCGATCAGCAGCTCAAAAGCGGGCTTGGCAGCCCCTTCACTCAATTTGAGCGCTTAATTACCCACAGGTTATACATTTGCCAGATTTTGGGCTCACCCATATTTGAAATAAATCTATACCTGAATTTATTTTATAAATACCCAGATAAATTTGCACTATATTCCAGTCCTATCTGATCAAACTAGTTGTACCAATAGTTTGTGGCTGTGACCACAGTTCATTAACAATGACTCTTTTCCCCAAATTACCACCAGAAAGACAGCAAGTCACGTCAATCAATCCGACTTGAATTAAAGAAAAACTTCCTCAATATGTTGGTTTCCCATAGGTGAAAGACGAAGTTTCAAATGCAATCAACTGGCGTAATAAGTTAAAAATCAATAAGGGCCGAAAATAATGAGAAACTTTAGCAATAAAAAGCGGAAAAAAAACAATTTTTATGGAAAACTTGCCCTCAGGCTCGATTATGTGGGTGAGATGGAAACGACCTCTGATGTCAGCAGCTGCTGGATAGCATGGCATAATAAATTAAAAACAAAATGCCTTTTCCATGGACTCCGAAATCTTTGGGCAAAATTTTTTTGTGGTATTGATTAGTGGTTGAGATTTTGGAGCAGGCGATTTGGCAGCAATTTAAACTTGAAGATATGCCAATCAAAAGACAGTTATCCGCCGAGCCACCGATTTGCATTAATGAGATTTCATATTTTACTTTTTTTGCCATTGGAATCTCAATCTTGAATCGAACCGTTTGATGGCCGCGATAGGCAAATAAATTTGTTTTGTGAGAAATTCATTTGTTTTGTCGCCACATTTGTTGGTTTCCTTCACATGGTTTGGTTTCCACTTTGTTTGCACCCACAAAGACGCAAAATCATTGACCTTATCGCAGCTATTGATAGATGGAATCTATGACGGGGGTGTTAACCATAAAATGCCATTGTTTCCCCTTTAATTACTGCAATCCCTCTTTAACCTTAAGGCAAACACACCCTCGACGAAGAGATGGAGTCTCATTTTGGACTCGTACAAGTCCATCAATTCATAAACGAATCGATTACTTAGCATAACGCGAAGGCTATGCTCCGCACCTGATTTTTTGGCTACGAACTCAGCGACATATTTAAGAATTATGAGGTTTTAATTCTATATTAGGATGGGGTTAAGATAACTCGTTTTCATAAGGAAGTCTTGGCGATGCCGGAACTTGGCTTGCCTTTATTAAATCTATGGACAGTATATGCAAATCGATGAACAGATCAATTTCGTATTCATCTTCATCCAAAAGATGATCCAACGAATATTATTATGTGGGACAGTTGAGCGCTAAAACCTGATTACCTGATGCTAAGTGGTAATCGATTTGCCGCTGCCACTCAGAATGCCAGCAAGTGCATTTAGAACTAAGCTAATTGTCCATTACTGTCAGTGGAAGCCAACTAGTTTTTCTTGGTCGACTGTGACAAATCTTGGGAAATTAGCATGTTCTGCCAAATCGCAAACTCCAGTTCCAGTTTGCTAAAAAGTACGTCAACATTTGACGAGTGAGCCAAGAATGCGCTGTGATTTGATTATTATGCCTTTGACATTTTGCCAGCCGTTTTGGTGAACGGATTTCTTCTCTTTTTTGTTGTCTTTTTCTTTGCCTCGGTTTCGAATCGAACCGGATCTAAATGGCTGCTGATTTGCTTGGGCCCGTTGTCGCAGATACAAATAACCAAAAACGAGCTCGGGTTTTAGACTCATCTCTTCACGGAGTATGCAAATTGAGCCGAGCCAAGCGAAGAGTTGGGTCTTTGAGATACTAGCTCGGTTTCTGTGGGGGCGTGCCATGAATGTGACAAATCTTTCGACAGTTGTAGGATTTGGGTTTTTCTTAGACAGTTCATTAATCATTCGCCTGTGTTTTTCTTACACTTTTTTCCAGGCCGTCGCTTGCATTTTTTTGCAATGCGTGTACTCCGCTAAGTTCGATGATCAGAACCGTCGTCTGATTCTCGATATTGACGATCAAAAGACAACGAACCGTCAGTACTACTCGTCAAACATTGACACAAGTAAGTGAATCCGTTTAACAATTTTATATCCGTGCCTATCTAAGCCGCTTGAATCCATCCCAAACATAAAATAAAAATATAACTAGTACAAATCCCTTATCCAAACCATTAACTATGTAAAAATCAGTTGAATTTTGTACTGCCCATCCATTTCTGATCTGACCCATCCATGCAGTTAGTTAGTCTTCGTTTTGTTATTTATATACCACTTAAGTAGTTAACTTGACCAACAAATTGTTATCGTAGTTGTTAGTAGTCGTAGTCGTAGTCGTAAGTATTTGTACTGCCCCCTCCACCCCTTTAGATAGTTCAACCGACTTACATCAATTAATCAATATCCCCCAAATCGAAACCAACACCAATTGTAGTACCCTCTATATATATACATTTATATATATTTCCGTAGCAGCTTTACTAAACTCACCCAGTAGAACTCGTAGTATCAAATTGTAAATATATACACGCTCAACAATCAATCAACCATTACCTATATCTCTCCTCTCTCTTATTGTATGCTACTTTCTCCTCCTCTTACATATAAATTTACACTTCTTTCTACAGTTTTATGTAGGCATTTGTTCTTCAGTGGCCAAAAGTTCTACATGAAACCTCTTTAAAAATGCTTCGCATACTCATAACTCTACCTCACCACCTCAAAATTGATTACTCCGAACAAAAACCGAAAAAATAATTGAAAAATACCCAACCAACAACAGCACACAACAAACACCAACATTTTCCCTATACAACCTCATCTGTTCAGGTTCCTCGTACAAACGTTCAGTTACAGCGCCCTTTAAGAGAAGTTAGAACACAGTCAGTTAGTCGAAAGTCTTAGGGTTATTTAAACACACCATTTACAGGTCCTCACAGCACTGCAATAAAAAAGAAAAAGAAAACACAAAAAATATCAAAACCGCAAGCAATCACACCAAACAAAAGCGTTATACTCTAAACATTACTCTTCCAAACCAAACAAAACCCCACCAAATCAAAAACCAATCCAAATCGACACGAACACGATCACCCAAAAGATGCCTATCGGTATGGCTACGATGTGGGCAAGACCGGCAACTTCCATCACGAGACCCGTGGTCCCGATGGAGTTACCTACGGCTGCTACGGCCTGATCGACCCCTACCACCTCCTCCGGGCAACACACTACGTGGCCGATGCCCACGGCTACCGCACCGTGGAGCCGGAGATGCCAGTGGAGACCTTCCCGCCCCATCTGTACAGCGAGACCAACGGGGGTCCATCGGAGCCCGGCATTGTGCTGCAGTGGGAGGAGCTGTACTTCCCCATCGGATGCGGAAAGTTTGCGAATGGCGCCCAGCACGGCGTTCCATTCTTCCTAGATGATGTAAGGGTTGAAGGGGTTCTTTTCGGGCGGTTTCTGCGCATTTCCTAGAATTCCAACCGTTTGGTTGATGACATTCGTGGAAATGCGTGGAAACGCCAGTAGGACCGCCTCTAATCCGACGCACAAACGTATTTTCCAGTTTAAGAACAAGGGCAGTAGCAACGATGCGATACCATCGTTCTCAGCCAACACAATTGTGATCAAGGGCTCCGACCAGAAGAGTCTGCCCATCCACAAGCCCACTGGTCCACTGGTGCCCCAGGGCACGGGGATCTTTGGCACGGACAAGGGTCATTCGGATCTCAGCCATCCCGGCGATCAGGCGCCGTCCTTCCATTCGGTGAACACCCTGCTACCGGGCAGCAACAGTGAGCAATGAGCTAGAGAAGGGATCTGCGGATCGGAAACTGCATAGTTTGTGTCCTTTTAGATGATGGCCAGTACGTGCCGGATAGTAATCCGTATGTGCATGTGATTGGACCCAATGGCGGAAATGGAGGCAACGGAGGCAGCGGCTCTGGCGGCGGTTTCGGTGGAAACGGAGGATTTGGAGGCGTTGGCGGTTTCGGACCCAATGGCCCGGGTGGCCCGAATGGACCAAAGGGACCCAAGGGTCCCCCGGGACCACCGGGACCACCTGGCGGCTTGGGTCCGGTCGGCGCGGGAGGAGGAGCCTCAGGAAAACCGGTCCACAAGGATGGCGATCGCACTGGCCTGGGCGGCGGTTCCGGAATCGGTTCCGGTGATCGCATCACCACCGGAATCGGCGGCGGTGTCGGTGCTGGCGACCGTTACACCACCGGAAGCGGTGGTGCCGCCGGCTCCGGCGACCGTTATACCACCGGAAGCGGTGGCGCCATTGGTGGCGATCGCACGGGCAGCGGTTTCGGAATCGAAGCCAGTGGCCAGTATCGCCCGGATAATGAGGGAACCTACACGAGCACCTACACGCACACAGAGACCGGTTTTCCTGGGGCCATTCCATACACTCCAGGTTAGCCCTCCAACGATTTCTCTACTCATGGAGAGCTAAATTTGAACGAGCTGTGGAGGAAGCGGATGAAAGGTAACCTGATATGGTGTTACCCAATGAAAAGAGGTTCCAATGAAACATCGATAAATTTCTCATCTTAGTGCGCGATCAGTTCGTTCAAATTTCTCTCTTCAAGGCTTTTAGTTTGTAAGATAGCAATCCTAAACGTATGTCTTTTTACAATAATTCGTACTTAAACTTTAAACTATTTTAAGAAACTATCTGTTTATTTTCAGCCAAGAAACAATGATTTCGCATCTAATTTCAATATTTTCTATACTCCTATTTGCCAATTTTCCCAAAAAGAACATATACACACATATATAAGTCAGGCAATGCTAGGGCACGTTTTTGATTTCAGTTATCCTTTATCAGAGCACCTCTCCCAAAAGCGCACAATCCCTGCACATAAAGTTATCAAATGAAAAGAAAATGAATACCAATTGATCACCACTTCCGTGTCTCAGCGTTCACTTGGCTGAGATCGGATCACAGTTATATCACCCATGCTTGCACCGATTCTTCAGTTCAACACCCATCCACACACAGATACACCCACACCAGCACACCAACACACCAACACACCGAAACACCGACACAAGTACACACATTTATTGTATAATAATTACACAGCACATGAAAATGTACAAAAAACTCGCTTGAGCAATGACTATTAATCAATTCTATAAATGCAACTAACAATTAATACCTGTGATTTATTTTAGTGTGGTTTTCGGTATTCCTGATCCCCAACTAAGCCCATACTTTAATACTAATTCCATCCTACTTGTTTGCTTTGTTGTTACACTTTTTGTTTTGTTTGGTGTCGGTCTAGAATGTAAGCCTGTAATTTTCGAGTGTTACACAAATATCTAGAGCAGTTTTAGAAAACCAGTTGTTGTAGTTAATATATTGTTTAATATATGTATGTAGTTACTAGTAGCTAGTATCTGTAGTAACTGTAGTTAAAACGTGAGCATGTAGAAAGTACACTTTTTACCGGCACAGTTTTTAATCGAACGATTTTTACGATCTTCAAATCCACTATCTAGATAACGGTAAATATAATGGCAACAGCGGACGCTATAACGGTGAGTAATGCTGAAAATCTACGTACTAAACCATGGATACTCATTTCATTCGAATGCCATCCACAGGTATTAACGATGGTCGCTATTATCACGATGATTCGGGCAAATATGTTCACGTTGAAGGCCCCACTGGACCACCAGCACCTCCATATGTCCACGTTGTTGGACCCGAAGGCGGATTCGGCGGAAATGGCGGCAACGGAGGCGGCGGCGGCGTAGGCCCCGGCGGCCCAGGAGGACCTAAAGGACCTGGCGGTAGAATCCTTGACAGCTCCGTGCTTGAAAAACATATTTATTGCAATTTGAACTTGCTTTTCAGGCCCCAAGGGACCCAACGGACCACCCGGACCACCTGGACCACCCGGACCACCTGGTAATGGTTATAAGACGGCCTAAATTGCGCTCGGTATTAAGTAATCGCATCTCTTCTAGGACCACCCGGACCCAAGGGACCCACCAAGCCTGGACCATTCGGACCTCCGGGACCACCCGGCCCACCTGGTAGGCCAACCTAGACACCTTTTATTAACAGATGTTAGAACAGATCTCATTGAATTGCAGGACCTTCTCCCAACGATCCCCGTTACTCGGACAAGGAGACGCCCGGCTATCTGCCACCAAACCAACGGGGTAAAATCTCGAAACCACCTCCATCCTACTCACAAGTCATTGAAATTGAACCACCCAAAACAGTCTTTAAGCCGAATTACGAACAAAATAATGATTATGCTATTAAGAAACCATCCGTAACGACAAAGCCACCACTAACATATATTCCTCCTTCTTTTCCCAACACTCCAAAACCCTATGTTCCCGCTCCCGTTCCCGCTCCTGTTCCCGCTCCTGTTCCCGCTCCTGTACCCGCTCCTCAACCGCCGTCCCAAAAAATAACCACGACGATCGTACAGCCAAAGGTGCCCGTCATCACTATTGAGAAGGATAAGCCACATAAGAGCGTTCCCACACCGCCAGTGACAACGGGTAATATTGAAAACCACACTTACTTGCCACCACCACCGCCGACTCCGAAATACGTGACCCAGACCAAGACCCCGACTGCCATTCCGGTTGCCACTGCGGCTCCGATTCCAATCCGTTACGAACCCTCGACTCCCCGACCCTTCCAAAAGGTGGTGACCAAGCCGCCGCAGATCCAATACCAGACACCACAGGTGCCCGCCGTGGTGGTACCCAAACTACCAGTGACCGTTCCGTACAAGCCCGTGACCCGACCTCCTCCCGTTTACGTTGAACCCAAAGTAACGCCACGTCCCTCTCCACCATTGCATGTGCCATCGATCAGCGATCAGTCCTGTGTTTGTAACGCCGATAAGACGCACTCATCGAAAAGCACCCTTACCTCAACCACAACCACCACCACGAACTCCTATCCCAATCCCGCCTCCGTTGACTTTAATAAACAATTTTCCGGCTTCAATGGACAAGCCAACTTTGGCAGCATAATAAACGCCATGTCACTGACCCAGTTGCCGGTGATACCTCAGGCCCCCGGACAGCCGGCCTTCTATCCGCCGGATAAGATTCCCAAGGGAGCCGTCATCGCCTTAATGCCCGTGGTCATCCTGCCGCAAGAGTACTACTCGAACTGTGAGGAGAACTCAATTAACCAACACTCGAACATCGACTCCTTCCCGCTGGGCGTTCAGCCTGGTGTATCCTTCAGCCTGCACTCGGTGCTGACGGGTTCGGCGCCCAAGGATCAGTGCATGTGCCCATGCTCATGCACCCAGAATCTGCCGGCCAGACTACACAAGAAACGCGAAGCCAGCGATGCTGAGACTCCGCTGGAGGTCAAGGCTTCGGAGCCCGTTGCCGACGCCTCCGCCACCGAAGAGGTCAAAGCCCTGCCCGATCCCGTTCCAGCCGCCGCCGAAGAGGTGAAAACCGTGGTTGAACCCGTACCAGCCGCCTCCGAAGAGGCGAAAGTACTGGCCGATCCCGTTCCAGCCGCCTCCGAAGTGTCCAAGGCTGAGGTTCAACCAGCAGCCGCAGCTCCCGAGGAGGTTAAAGCAGCGGCGGAGCCCAAGCCCGCAGCATCAGAAGAGGTGAAGGTACAGGCTGAACCCGTTCCATCAGCCTCCGAGGAAGTGAAAGTGAAAGTTGAACCTGAAGCGGAGAAAGTTCTGGCTGACCCAAAACCCGAAACCAAGGCGACTAGCGAGACGAACTGAGACAAGGACGAGAGGACAATCCAATACCCCTCCCAAATCCCGCTTAAATCCCATCCCAACCTCGATCCTACCTCCTCCTCGAAAAACTAAACCTAGTCTAAGTGTTTTTAATGTCTGCCAGGCAGGGCCAACCAGCATTTAAGAAGCGTAAATCGAATGGAGAGCCCAGTTAATGTGTTCGCTTTATTATATTAAATTTCGAAAACGATGATAAACGGTTTTGGTAAATGCACTCCAAACCGCCTGTCCACGATGAGTTTCGGAGCTCTCTAATGTAATATCTCCCTCGGATTCTATTTGTAATCTAAGCATTTCCTTCAGAGAGCACTGTGTATTGGCAAAAATGAGAAAATTGTTTTGTGACATGTTGTTTATTATGCATTTGTGTATGCTTTTTATTTTTTATAATTTGTTCACTTTTATTTCTTTATGATTTTTATGAACTTTAGTTTTTAGTTTATTTAATGTCTACGCTAATCATGATTGAGACGGAATAATGAATTGTTATGTCAAAAGAGAAATACTGAAATTAAATAAAAATGTTAAAAAAAATGCATCTGGCCTTATTATTATACCCGTTACTTGCACTATGCAGCCACTTTTTTGGTGGCGGCAGTAATTGCTCTCTTCCCGCTCGCATAAAATTGAGAGCATAAAAATCTAAAAATAGAATTTACTTGCTTGTGTGAGTGAAAACAGTAAACAAAAAAGTTGTGCTAGAAGACGATTTTCGGTCCGAAATCAATTTTGATCTAAGAAACGAATTTGATTAATGTTTTGGTCAATTTCGTTGTAATATGAGCTAAATATTATTTAATAATTGATGCCGTACCCAGGGAACACCACGGGTGGACATTACAATTGTAATGGAATCGTATATTTATATGACCTTCGAGTCGACTTGAAATAATAAATGTTAAACATAAAATATTTTCATGTTCCCCAACTAAGCTAGTTTTCTAACTATTGATTTTCGATATAATTTGCTCCTTTTTTAATTCATTTTATTAAATTTTTGTACTATATATGTATATATATATATGTATATATATATATGTATATATTTATTTTTAGTCGTCACTAATTTTTCATATTTGAGATATAATGCTGAGTTTTGCTTGCTTTTTAAGAAATCGCTACTTTCATTTATGCACTTAATGCATTGCTCTACAATAAATTGTTTTATACATCGTTGTTTTTTATTATTTTTAAAAATATTTTCAAAAACTTTAATGTGTATTTAATGTGTAAAAAACTTCATATGCAATAATTATCATATTAAGGCAATCCAAAATTCGAGTTTTTACTTATTACTAACGAGTACTTTGTACTTGATTGCCAGAGTAATAATAAAGGTTTTTGTTTAGGAAACATATTTTCTTGTAGCCCTATAATTCCCAACTGGTTCTAGCGAAGACTGTAAGACATGTCTTCTAATTTCCCCGTCGAGCAGTGAGTGTAGTGTATGTGTAGTGTATGCACTGGAGTATGTATGTATGCACGTATGTACGTATGTAAGTATGAAGGATGTATGTATGTATATATGCATGTATATATGTATGTATGTATGTATGTATGTATGTATGTATGTATGTATGTATGTATGTATGTATGTATGTATGTATGTATGTATGTATGCATGTATGTATGTATGTATGTATGTATGTATGTATGTATGTATGTATGTATGTATGTATGTATGTATGTACGTACGTATGTATGTAGGTATGTATATATATATACAAGTTTGTGGTTGTCCTGTAAATAATATTGTCGAAATTCAAAAAAAGGTAAAATATGTCCCAAGGTTGAAGTTCTAAAGTCCATAGCTCCATAGTCCATAGCTGATGTAATGTGTTGCAGAAATTCAAAAATGCCCCAAGGCTGAAGTTCTAAGGTCCATAACTCAACTTATCTTAATCGGATTTTGAAGTGGCATACCTCTAAATGTTTCTGGAGCAATTCTCTAAAAACCTGCATTCAAATTTGGTAATTCATTTTTTGGAATTTTTTTTGTATTTTTTTCTGATGTAATGTGCTGTAGAAATTCAAAAAGGTCCCAAGGCTGAAGTTCTAAGGTCCATAACTCAACTTATTTTAATCGGATTTTGAAGTGGCATACCTCTAAATGTTTCTGGAGCAATTCTCTAAAGATCTGCATTCAAATTTAGAAATTAAATTTTTTTTATATTTTTTGTCATTTTTCTGATGTTATGATGTTGTAGAAATTCAAAAATGTCCAAAGACTGAAGTTCTAAAGTCCATAACTCAACTTATCTTAATCGGATTTTGAAGTGGCATACCTCTAAATGTTTCTGGAGCAATTCTCTAAAGATCTGCATTCAAATTTAGAAATTAAATTTTTTTTATATTTTTTGTCATTTTTCTGATGTTATGATGTTGTAGAAATTCAAAAATGTCCAAAGACTGAAGTTCTAAAGTCCATAACTCAACTTATCTTAATCGGATTTTGAAGTGGAATACCTCTAAATGTTTCTGGAGCAATTCTCTAAAGATCTGCATTCAAATTTAGAAATTAAATTTTTTTTATATTTTTTGTCATTTTTCTGATGTGATGATGTTGTAGAAATTCAAAAATGTCCAAAGACTGAAGTCCTAAAGTCCATAACTCAACTTATCTTAATCGGATTTTGAAGTGGAATACCTCTAAATGTTTCTGGAGCAATTCTCTAAAGATCTGCATTCAAATTTAGAAATTAAATTTTTTTTATATTTTTTGTCATTTTTCTGATGTAATGAAGTTGTAGAAATTCAAAAATGTCCAAAGACTGAAGTTCTAAAGTCCATAACTCAACTTATCTTAATCGGATTTTGAAGTGGAATACCTCTAAATGTTTCTGGAGCAATTCTCTAAAGATCTGCATTCAAATTTAGAAATTAAATTTTTTTTATATTTTTTGTCATTTTTCTGATGTAATGATGTTGTAGAAATTCAAAAATGTCCAAAGACTGAAGTTCTAAAGTCCATAACTCAACTTATCTTAATCGGATTTTGAAGTGGCATACCTCTAAATGTTTCTGGAGCAATTCTCTAAAGATCTGCATTCAAATTTAGAAATTAATTTTTTTTTATATTTTTTGTCATTTTTCTGATGTTATGATGTTGTAGAAATTCAAAAATGTCCAAAGACTGAAGTTCTAAAGTCCATAACTCAACTTATCTTAATCGGATTTTGAAGTGGCATACCTCTAAATGTTTCTGGAGCAATTCTCTAAAAATCTGCATTCAAATTAAGAAATTAATTTTTTTTTATATTTTTTGTCATTTTTCTGATGTTATGATGTTGTAGAAATTCAAAAATGTCCAAAGACTGAAGTTCTAAAGTCCATAACTCAACTTATCTTAATCGGATTTTGAAGTGGAATACCTCTAAATGTTTCTGGAGCAATTCTCTAAAGATCTGCATTCAAATTTAGAAATTAAATTTTTTTTATATTTTTTGTCATTTTTCTGATGTAATGATGTTGTAGAAATTCAAAAATGTCCAAAGACTGAAGTTCTAAAGTCCATAACTCAACTTATCTTAATCGGATTTTGAAGTGGCATACCTCTAAATGTTTCTGGAGCAATTCTCTAAAGATCTGCATTCAAATTTAGAAATCAAATTTTTTTTATATATTGTGTCATTTTTCTGATGTTATGTGTTGTACAAATTCAAAAATGTCCCAAGGCTGAAGTTCTAAGGTCCATAACTCAACTTATCTTAATCGGATTTTGAAGTGGCATACCTCTAAATGTTTCTGGAGTAAAAAAAAATAAAACGATGATTACTTTATTTGGTTTTGCAATCAAAAAAGATGCGCACATGCGGCCATTGTATTAAAGAGTTTGTTTAAACTGTATGGTTGGGTTTCAACGCAAATTTGTAACCTTTACCCTCAGGTCAACTCAAGTACAAATATCCTAATAGTCGACTATGAAATACTTACGGCGCAGTCGGAAAATGTGTTACATACCTTAAGGGCGTTTTCATTAGCTATTTTTACTGTAATGGTTGCTGTACTTTTATAGTTCCGCTATTACTGAGTTCGTTTGTCTACAGTACCTTAAGATATTTAAGCCTAAAAGTATACTGGCATTTTAGAAATCTTATTAAATTGATTGACGTAAAATGTAATATTTTGCGTTTAATATATTTTACATCCATTTTCATCTTTCCTGTTATTTCCAATCCCTTAGAAGTTGGATATCAATATAATACACAACCATTACAGCAAGCACTAAAACAGGAATCCAATTTATAAGTTATTTCTTATATAAAATAAGTGTAAATGATGTTAAAAAACCCGTTGTTAGCCTGAAACAAATTCCAGATTCTAACAAACAAAGGGGTAGTAATAGTATACAATATATAATAAGGTTCAATACTTAATAAACACACCTATAAAAGCCGAGTATACGATTATCCAAAATAAGGCTATGCATTTTATTTATTATTTGAATTTTGCAGGGTTCACTGCAGTCGACTTCTGCTAATTAGATTTATCTGCCGCTCCTGGTGCGTAAAATGGCTGTTGTCAAGAAATATCTGGCAGCAAAATTTGCCATTTGCAAATATGTGTACGGCTCTTTTCTGCCCCCAATGCATGAGGAATCCGAGCAGGTCAGGTCCTTGGAAAAGGACCTGAAATCAATAGACAAACAAAAGGAGGCAGTGAAGCCAAATTAAATGGATACCTTCTGTTTATTTTTTATTATTCTGGCGTTCTTCCTCTTTGTTGTTTTGATAGGTAGAAAATGGAATTCATGGCAGTGAAATGCCCTTAAGCTTGGAAGGCTTGGCATCGTTTTCCCTACAGCTTTAAGAAAACAGAGCATAGATATTTCATTAGCATTTATTAAATTATAAACGGGAAATTTTTATTTTTTTAGAAGATGGAAATATGCATCTCGTTGGCGGCATACATGATATTAAATTCTTGATGAGATGGGCTTAACTCTTGGGCTTGTAACAATTTTACCTTGGATGCATGAGTAACCCAGTTTTGGGATATATTTTACGACTATGTTGGGTAAATAACTAAAGAGTTGCAATACCCGCATGTCGCAAAATACCTGATAGTTTTCACACATCGTATCTTTAACTTTAGCTGTGAACTCTTCAGTTGGTTTTAGGGTTTTGGGTGGAGGCCGAAATTCGGGTAAATACAAATACACTATTGAGATTATTTTCAAGCTTTCCGGTACGAGTCGGAACTGGAGTTTTATGAATGAGTTCGCTACAGAATTACAAAATACTTGGCGGCATATTGGCTCCAATTATGCAAGAGGCTAGCACCAAAAACAGTTCACAAAAACCAACAAAAAGTCAAATAAGCTAAATATTTAGATAGCAAACTCTCTGTAGATAATTGGAATTAAAGATATACTAAACACACACGACCTGGCCAGCAGCGTTTTCAGCATTCTCATTCATTGCGAGATGGCGGGAAACTTGAAAGAAATGCGATCTGTGAACTGTGGGTAAATATTCAATGGTTTACCGGGGCGGGGCTTTTCTCTGCCGCTGTTTTTGTT